AGCAATTCTGAAGTACGTCGAATGGTATTCGGGAGAAATAACTCACCCTCGATAGATGAACTGATCACACTTCACAGGTTGCGCTGGCCTGGCCACGTGCTGCGTATGCCAGTCGACCGACTTCCTCGAAGAGCTCTTATCGCCCAACCACGTGAAGGGTGGAAGAGAGCCAGAGGCGCTCAAACAATTACTTGGCAGCGAAGTGTGAAAGCGATTACCAGCAAACTCAGCTGCGCTGGTCACTGCCGTCTTCCTGGATGGGGACCCCGAGACGGGCCACATCAATGGCTACAGACATTATCAGACATGGCCCAGTCGCGCCCTCAATGGCGCTCGTGCATCCAAGCCATTGCCTTCAATGCATAGCTCCTTTTCCAACCCCCCCCCCTCTTGACAGCCCACTGTACCTATCCCCAAAAAAACATCGGTGAACGAAACTGCGGCAGCTACAACCACTGTACGACGAGTACGCGGTTCTTACAGCTGACAATGATGATGATGATTCTCGCCTAAATTGCTCGCCTTTTTCGAATGCTCTTGCACCCTGTTTCTTCAATTGCTTACAATTCTTCAGATTCCTAAGATTCGGGTTAACGTCTACCTGCCAAATTTGCATAGCACCTAACGTCTGTGTTTCACTCGTACTTTGCTTCGTTCGTACGTATTAACGTATTTTCCACGCTTCATTGCTTGCCTCACAGTTTCAAACAATTCGAAGTTCACCTGGCCATGGATCCTCTTTCACTTTGCAAACCACTTTTGGTAAAAAGGCAAATGCAAAACTTCCGACGAAAATCGTGCGACATGGACAGCCAGTGACGCCATCTGAGTGAATCTTCAACCACCTAGAGAGTTCGTGATGAGTTCCGATAAGCTACACACGACAGTAATGCAAGTCTAGGTGCGAAAGTAATCATTTTTAACGACACTGTGCTATAAAGGCTATTTCACATTCGTATCTGATTAAGCCGTTCGCAGTTCGTCGGTCAAATGGTAGGATGACCCGCTATATTTGCGTCCCGCTAAATAATACAACTGAAGACTGGTTTATAGGTACGCCCTAGTGCTCCAACTGGAAGTCGTCCAGACAGCACAGATAGATATCCACAATATGGGACAAAAATGAAACTATTTTCGGTAAACCACGGCATAACTATTAGCTGCGAATGGAACAGCATGTCCGCAAGGCAGGCACTATGGTTACTTGGAGTACAGTCAGGTGACCACGCTTCGATGTCAAAGTACCGCAGGGACTTGCTTTGAATTTTCAGGCTCATGTGATACCGGCGTATCACATGTATATATATGTACATGCCTCTAGTGTTCTGTAGTTGTTCGTTATATCTTTCCTTTCAGTTTATTTCGTACTAGTCATTGGAACGGTATACTGATGGTGCCGAATTACCACATTCGGCTGGTTAGCCTACCAAATAGTTGAGTACTTTAACTGACAAGATGGAATTAGTAAGTAGGCCCTTCCTCCTATTCCTCTCACCACATTTATTTGGATAATCCAGGTTAACTAGGTCACACCGCCACCACAAATTCCTTAATCGAATTAGAAAAGTTGACTGTGACTGCCTCAGCGCTACCGAAGATTTCCTGATTCGTGGAGAGCAGTCCAGAACATTGGCAGGTATAGATAGGGGGCCCAATTAATCACAGACAGTGTCTCAGTAAATCTAAGTGGCTATCATACGGGTAGCGGCATAGCCGATCACCGATCATAAAGCTCCCGTTTACAGGCCCTTTGCGGCCTTCCGAGACGCAGCTGTATAGTGCATGACTCTTCTCGAAGAGAAGCGTAGAAAACATCATTTGCATAAGCTCATCATCAGGAGCAGTACAAGACAACTGCCGTACGACCATGAGAAGGAATTCCCCATCAAATAGTACAACCTAGCCCTTAGGAAAAGCGATCAACAAAGTAGCTACGCTTTGGAACAAGAACAGGGTCAATGCATGTGAGCATCATTGTGAAAACACAAACAGTAGAATTGACCCGAAGCCCCTTGGGCCCACTATACGACAGAAACTTCAACCAAGCAGATGACATGCTCGACACTAGGGTCAGTTGCACGCTATTTCTTGTAGAGAGAGTAAAGGGGATCAAGTGGACCGAAAAAAGAAAGGCGCGAAGACCCCGTGGTACTCAGTTTGACATAAGCCACCTTTATTTCGTGTTGCAAAGCCACAGAATGTCCCTCGCGAATGCTTCGCCTGTAAGGATTCCTTGTAGAGAGCGTTTGGGCGTGACCCAACCAATCTGATAAGTTTTATCCGCCACCATATTGATTATGCTTAATCCCCAAGTATCCACTAAAAAGATAAAGATAAAGCGTTCAGCTGTAGCACCCTCCCGGTGCCTAGCTGCCATGCCACCCGAAGGAAGCACGAGGGCTGGGATACTGCCAGGTTGCCCAAGCCTAGACAGGGGAAGTCGAGTGGCGGAGTTCGGATTCGAACCGCGGACCTTCAGGTTAGTAATCCGCGCTCTAACCACTTCGGCCATCTCGCCCCCTAGTATCCACTAGCTGTACGATGAAAACATCGCTAATCGGACGTTTGAATCCGTCTACGTCCTCAGATCGGAGGAGCGAGGCTTCACAACCACAAGACTGTCCTTAAAGTCTCCTGGTATACACGACTCTTCAGTTTTGGTGGAATGTGTTTCTGATGCCATAAGCGAACAAGTCCGAAAATGTTGTTCGCGCCTTGATAACGCATGCGTAGATTATCTCCCATTCATTGCATACGCCGATGTTCAGACAATTAGGTCAACAAATCCAACTTCCTCTACTTTAAGTTTCAGAGAGACAAAAGAGGACTCCAGATTCTAAATAAAAAAATTCCAATTTGCAGGTAAAAGACGCGTGCCGAAATAGGGGATTACTTCTGAACTTCAGAAATTGTACTTAGAGCAGTCGTTGGTGGTTGCGGGGGTGGTAGTTTTCAATCGAATTAATCTCGTTTGAACAGTCCTCCCGAAAGGGTTATAGATGAACGATTGTTTTTTTCATTTTATTCGCACAATCCAATTCCATGTAGTCGCTCTCTAGGCCCTGATACCTAGAATCATGGTCCTTTGGAGAGTGCGCTCCATGACAACGCGATGACAGAAGTGAAAGGCGAGGAGACAACTCTGAAAAAACCCTATAGTTCCGATGCTATTGCATCATTCACTGTATATTCTGGACCGACCGAAGACATGAAAATAAAAGGCAAACAAACCCCTAGCTAAAAATATTCAGATCTAACCTATTCATAGTGCCAGAGTTCCTTAGAGTGTAGGAAAACCGCCATCGCCGCTCGGAGATGCGTGGTACCATTCAAGAAACTGAGGCAGTGTAAAAATGCGGCCAATGCACTACCGTCACGAAGAGACTGGACCTTACCGTGGTGTGACGGTATGCGCACCTCAGCGACCCATTGAGCTATACTGGAGAGTGTCCCGCGACACTCAGTCTCTCATACCAGGTTGGTCAATGGTTAGAGGTTTGACGAACACAGTCTCCTGGCCCTCCAGGTTGGGGGTTGGAACATGTGGCGACTTGTTCCGTAGAAATGGTAATGCATTT